GCCGCTCGCCGCTCACCGCACGCTCCTCGCCGCTTGCCGCTCGCCGCCAGCCGCTCGCACGTCGTTCGCCGCTCGCGACCAGCCACCAGCTCGTCGCTCGCCGTTCGCGGCCAGCCGCCCGCTCGCCGCTCGCGCACCGCGCGCAGCTCGCCGCCAGCCACCAGCTCGCCGCACGCCGCCGGCTGCCAGCCATCAGCTCGCCGCCGCTATTTTCGTGAGCCACGCGGGTCCACCCGCTGTCGCCCCTTGCCATGCCGCTGCGAGTTCCCTCGTCGCTAATGTCTTCTTGAGCCGCGCAGGTCCACCAGTCGTCGCTCCCTCCTCGTGGCACCGCGAGCACGCTCGCCGCCGCCGATCCGTGAGCCGCGCCGGTCCACCCGCTGTCGCCCCTCACCGTGCGAACTCCCTCGCTGCAGCAGTCTTCTCGAGCCGCGCAGGTCTGCCCACTGTCGCTTCACACCGTGCCGCCACGAGCCTTCCCACCGCCGTCGCCTCCCCGAGCCGCGCGGTTCCACCCGCAGTCGCTCCTCTCTGTGCCGCCGCGCGCGTCCTGCTCGTCGTTGCGCTGTCGCTCACCTTCCCTCCGCCCATCGACGCCTCATCCGTCGACAAGCTCCTGCTAGCCGCCGACAAGTCCGCCACCAACTGGTACTCCTTCATTGGGAGTATTCGGCGGGTCCTCGACGGTGCTTGGGTCCAGCAGTACAAGTTGCCCAACATCCTCGAGCGTAAGGCTTCGGCCGTTCGCCCCACTACGCCCGTCGATCTCGGTCCCGAGCCTGATGTCCCTCGCGACCCTGGTGATCCGCCAGAGCGGCCCAAGGTCCCTCTCGCGCAGCCGGACAACCCTGAGGTCGAGCGTGTTGCCAAGAGGATAATGACGACGCCCGCCAAAAGTTCCTGCAGCGGCGCGCCGACTACAAGTCCGAGAGGCATGCATTCGACCTCGCCTCCAAACGTGTCGCGGACCATCGCCTGCAAGCCATCCGCTATGCATTGCAGAAGGTGCCCTGTGCTGCCGGCATTGCTGCATGGTGTGAGGCTGACCTGCGCGTCTCTACCATCGTCCTCGGCGCTCTCCCTGTCGACATGATGCGGCAAGTGAGGCGTGTCGTACTGAGGGGTGAGGCCGCATCACGGCCTATTGGGACACCTTCTCCCCCACAGTCAAACTCCCCACCATCCGAGCCCTCCTCGATTTTGCAGCTCACATGTCCATGGTCATCTGCTACATGGACATCTCCAATGTGTTCCTGCAAGGTGAACTGCGCGAGAAAGTCCTCATGCAACGACCCCTTGGATTTCATGCTCCCTTCGTGCTTAACACCGTCAAGGAGCTTCAGCGCCCTGTGTATGGCTTGAAGCAGGCACATCAGGAGTGGCATGACTAATTGGCTGCCACCCTTCAGGCCATGGGCTTTCGTGCCGCCCACTCCGATGCTAGTCTCTTCATCCGTGCCGCCCCCAGCCGCTTTTTCATCCTCGTCTATGTGGATGACATGATCCTCATAGCCGATGAAGAAGCTGACGTGGTGAAGGTTAAGTTTGAGCTTTAGACCCGCTTTCAGTGCGAGGACCTGGGCGCTCTGAAGAACATCCTTGGCATGACCATCACACGCGACCTGGAGGCCCGCACCATCACGTTGTCCCAATCGTTCTACATCGACCAGGTCTTGGAGCGGTTCACCATGGCGCAGGCCAAGCCAGTGTCCACCCCCTTGCCCGTTGGTCACCACCTTGCGCCCTCCACCTCTCCCTCCGCCTCTGATCACCCCTATGCCGAGCTTGTCGGGTCCCGCATGTAAGCCATGATGTGTACGCACCCCGACCTCGCATACCCCATCAGTGTCCTCGCCCGGCTCCTCGGTACCAACCGCCACACTCCCGCCCACTGGGCCGCTGCGAAGAGAGTCCTCCGCTACCTCCGGGGCACCAAGGACTACATCTTGACCCTTGGCAGCACCTCTCCTCCTCTCCTGGCTTCAGCACCTCTCCTGGCTTCAGTGACTTCCCCTGGGCCGATTCTCAACCCGACCACCGCTCCTCCCAGGGCGATGGTTTCACCCTGGGCAGCAACCTCATTAGCTGGCGTTCCACCCGCTCGTCCGCCATCGCCCTCTCCTCGTGCAAGGCCAAGCTCTATGCCGGCACTATGGCCTCTCAAGAATCGCGCTGGCTGTGCTATCTCCTCGCCGAGCTCGGTGCTCCCCAGCGCTATCCCACCCTTTGGTGCGAGAATGCGAGCATGATCCACCTTACCAAGGACCCGGTCTTCCATGGGTGGTCCAAGCACATCGAGCTTCGTTATTTCTACATTCGCGAGATCGTCCAGCATGGTCACCTTGCCGTGCGCAAGATTGGCGCTGAAGCAAACTTGGCGGACATTTTCACCAAGGCCTTGCCCAAAGCCGCTAACAAGGCCCTCCTTCTTCACCTTGGCCTTGGCCCTCCTAGCCTGTGAGAGTACGACCCCGTTTCATTTCTTTCTCCTTTCCATCTTCCCTTTCCATTTCATTCCTCTTTTTATCCTGATTCATTTGGTCTTTATCTCATGTCATTTGGATTCCTAGTCCTTCTTTTCCATAAACCTTTGGTTTATCCTGTTATTATCATTATATCACCGACCAGGCTCGAGATGTACTGGTACGCTATATCTAGCGCAATCCTGCCGTAATCCCTTAAAACCAATAGCCTCGCGTGGCTATACGCAGGGTGATTCTATTTTCTAGAAGGGTCTATTCCCTTGGGATAAGATAAACATCGTTCCCTGATGTACTTTGGAAGTATAAAAGCGCCTTGTATCAATCGATAGTGCAACATTTCCTCGACACATTCGATCCTGTGACATAGCCCCTCCCGCGCTCCATGATTCATGGGTTGTTCGTCTTCTCCACCAACCTGTGGTGTACACATCAAAGTGCAAGGGGTGTTAATCCAACACTGGAGTGGTTGGAGCCCCGGACCACAATATTGGGACCACGCAAGTGGCTCCCACGGTGGTTGGGTACTGTTCCTACCCAACTGCATGCGGCACTGTTCATCCTTCTCTTGCTAGCTTCCCTTCCTTCCCAATTTTCCTATGTATGTTCCTGATTCTATTTCTGAAATAGCTTCTTCAATTCTTTTAGTGGGTATGGTGCAGATTGGGGTATGGTGCAGATGCGGGTATGCTGCAGATGCGGGCATGCTGCAGATGCGGGTATGCTGCAGATGTGGTTATGCTGCAGATGTGGTTATGCTGCAGATGTGGTTATGCTGCAGATGTGGTTATGCTGCAGATGTGGATTATGCTGCAGATGTGGATTATGCTGCAGATGTGGGTGTGGTAGAGCTGGAATGGTTCAGAGCTGTAACATATGTTCTGTATTCGCTCCCTCTAACCCCCCCCTCCTTTTCTCCTCCCGTCATCGTCTCCTGTCATTTACCAGGCGCCTCAAATATCCGCGTGAACTGAGACGCCTCAAACATCATCCCGCCATCGTCTCCCGCCATCGTCTCGCGTCATCGTCTCCCTTACCCCAGGTGCTGGTGCTCGGAGGCAACGATTTAAGCAAGGAGGGCGCGGGGCGAATCGCAGAGTGCCTGAAGCCACTCAGAGCGCTGAGGAATGTTCCATCACTTCAAAACCCCCCAACCCCCCACTTCCCTTGCACCAGGTGCTGGGGCTGGGATGCAACAACCAACGACCTGTCCAAGGAGGGCGCAGATTGCTGAGTGTCAGAAGCCGTTTTGATCGTCCGCGAAGTTCCCCTTTTTCTCGGAATGTTCCTTCCTCTCGCCCCCCCCACCCTGCCTTGCACCAGGTGCTGGAGCTGGGCGGCAACGACTTGTCTGAGGAGGGCGCAGGGCGGATTGCAGAGTGCCTGAAGCCGTTCAGAGCGCTGAAAAAGCTGGTGCTGTGCGACAACGAGCTGGGGATGAAGGGGTGGCGACCATTGCTGCCATTATCCCCGACAATCTAATGTGAGTGCCACTGCTGGTTCATGGGAGCTGGTGCTGTGTGATAACGAGCTGGGGGACGAGGGGGTGGCGACGGTTGCTGCCATTATCCCCGACCGCTTGCAATGAGTGCCGCTGTCATTCCCTGAGGGCAAGGTTGGAGCTGTCATTCCCTGTCATTCCCTTGAGGAAGCTGGTGCTGTGCGACAACGAGCTGGGGGACAAGGGGGTGGCGACCATTGCTGCCATTATCCCTGACTGCCTATTGTGAGTGCTGCTGCAGGTGTTGTCATTGCTGTCATTGCTGTCATTGCTGTCATTGCTGTCATTGCTGTCATTGCTGTCATTGTCGTCGTTGTGAGTGAGTGCCGCCGCAGGTGTTGTTGTTGTCATTGTTGTCGCTGTTGTCATTGTCCCGGGCTCAAGAGTCGTGCTGGGGCAGCTGGTGCTGATCGACAACGAGCTGGGGGACAGGAGTGTGTGTGGTGTGGAGTCTTCTATTTGTGTGTGTGTGCCTCCATGCTGGTGCCTTGGACCCAAGCAAGGAAGCTGGTCCCGTGTAAGGCTCAAAGAGCCGACCATTCTTTTCCCCCGGTGTCCCTGCCTGCTTCATCTTCTGTTCTCTTAAGCCCCCCCCCCCCTGTTTTTTCCTCTTGCTGCAGCCAATCTTTTTTTCCTTTTCTTTTTCTTTTTGTCCATGGCCCCAGATCCCTTGAAGAGGTGGACCTCTCCACCAATGATTTCGGCCGAAAGGGTGCTGAAGCAGCGGCTCGGGCAGTCAAAGATTTGGAGGGCTTCAAGCTTCTCACCATCAACGGCAACCACATCTCAGCAGATGGCATCCGGGCAGTTAAAGAAATTTTGGGAATTCCCGTCGAGGATGGGGAGGAGGGTGATGGTGGGAAGGGCGTTTTAGGGCTGTTGGATGAGAATGATGACGAGGGGGAGGATGAAAATTAGATAGGGATTGGTGTTTCATTAAACAACACTACCTATGTCAGGCATTCTCTTCAATTACAGTGCTTGTACTGAGCTTCAATTAAGCTTTATTGAAAAATGAGTTGATGGTGGTGGTACTACCAAGCTACAGCACCAGCAGCAGCAGCAGGGCAAAGGCCAGAATCCACGAAAAAACACTGGTGCTAAGCATTCGTGCTGCTGCCTTATTGTCAGCCCCTGCCGAAGTAGATGGCCCCACAGAAGAAGACAAACCCCCAGAAGTTGACCCCTCAGACGTAGATGACCCTGCAGAAGTAGACGGCGCTGCAGACGGCGGTAACGCCAAGCCAGTCGACGAATCATCTGCCCCACTAGGTCCGGGTGAGAGAGAGATGTACTGCTTGCACTCCACTGGCGACACTCGCCTGCCCACAAACGCACCGTACGTTGCGTTGTCCTTGAACGGGCACCCCGGGATGTCGTTCAAAGGGTCGCAGCAGGCAGGTACTGGCGGGTACTTGTTGGCCCCGTTGTAACAACTGGACAGTCCCTGTGGGGGGCAGGGAGGAAGAAGCAGAGACGAAAGGACGCTCATTCAGCGTGGTCCCAGTGACACATTCAGCGTGGTCCCAGTGACACATCCAGTGTGGTCCCAGTGACACATCCAGTGTGGTCCCAGTGACACATCCAGTGTGGTCCCAGTGACACATCCAGTGTGGTCCCAGTGACACATTCAGTGTGGTCCCAGGGACTGTCACACTGCCTTGCACCCTCGGGCGTCTCTCAATAAGCCGCATCGGGCTCGCGTTAGCAGTACTGCCGCACCCCGTTGTAACACCCAGATGGTCCCAGTGGGGTGGCGGGAAGAAACAGTGACAGAATGCTCCGAAAAATGCTGTTGCAGTCACCCTAAACCCCGATAGGGCTGTCTCGGAGCCCCAGAAGGGAGAAGCAACACAACAGCCCCCCTCTCCACATACAAAACCCTGAAATATTTGATCACACTGAAACAATCATGCTTACTGGTACCACGTTGACGGTGATGTTGCGGCCTCCAATCGCCCTGAAGAGTGACCCGAACATCACTTTGAAGAACGTGACCTTGTTAGTGAGTAAGCTGCCAAATGTTGTTCCTGTGGCCACTGTTGGCGATGTGGGTGGAATGGACGGGGAGGGGGTAGGAGAGGGGTCATGGAGTAACACTAGCTTATAGAGGTTGTAAGAGCGTGAGGACTGCATGTACTAATAAGGGAGGACCTTATAGAGGAGAGGAAAAAACAGGGCCTGAAAAGTATGAGAGCAATGTGAAGAGGTGTAGGATGTGGTGAAGAAGGAGACGGAATAAGACGGAATGAAGGAGTTTTATTCGTTTCTGTAACTTACTTGGAAGGTCCTTGCATTCAGAGTACACATAAGATGCGTAGTCATCACACACCGAGAAGTTTCCAGCCCATTCCGTATCAGCAACAACATAGTTTCCGCTATCTGATTGGGAAGGGACAAAATGAATCATAAGGGCGTTTTTTCGTTTTTGTTTAACACATGTGTATCAATTGCTAGCATGTTACAGATTTAGCTGCTTTAGACGCCTACTCAGTTTAGTACAGGATGTCACCAGAGTATTCGCACATCATCGTGTGGTTCAATTTTTTTCGCACCACGGTTCCAAACGTAGTGACGAAGTTGCACAATTTAATTGAAGCTCAATTCAATCGGCGCACCTGGGTTGCACATAACGGCGCAGTTCATAGCCTCCAATTCCTGGCTGCACTGATCGAAGCCCACAAACCGTGCGCATTGCTGTGAAAAAGAGAAGGAAAAAGTAGGGTAAATGATTCCTTTCGTTCCGACACTTTTTGGAAATCGGATCTCACCTCATCCACCCGAGTCGGGTTCATTTCTGGAACCCTGTCACGCGAGTAAACGAGCCTCGATCGACCACAAGCTCTCGCGCCGCGAACTTTTCTTGGCGCAATCTTTGAGAGAAGCGGAACTCAACTCACCCGAACGGCGTTTCCCGACGCGGTTTTCAGAACGGACGGGAGGAGAAATTCGAGCACCGTCGACTCGTTCGCGCTGACGGCTTTGAGCGCCGCAAGCATGTCGATGCAGTCGTCGCAGCACGACCATTCCGTCGCGCCCAAGCACCGCGAAAACGTCACGTTCGTCCTCGCCGGCGGCCGCTGGCTGAACGGACAGAGCGGGTAGTCGGCCGGCTGCAGCACGGGCGGGGATGTTACCGACGTGTCAAGCTTAGCGCTAGGGCTGGAAATGTCGGACGCGGCGTTCGACGCGGCGTCAGAGCCGGAATCGGTAGGATGCGCGACGCGCAGCGGCTGTGTTGCACGGGCGGAGAGGAGCACGAGGAGGACGATCAAGTACAGCTGATGGCGAGACATTGTGAGGAATCTAAACTAGCCGTAGCCTGACGTTTGTGCTTGCCGAGACGCGAGAGAGACAGGAGTTCGCACAGTCGTCTCGTTGTGTGTGCTGGTGCTAGAAACTCGTGGACTACTGAAACTCGACAGTCGACGTTGAGCATAGTAACTGCTTTGGCCTCAGCTCCAGCAACAAAGAAATGCAACTCTGCAATCTTGGGCGCGCTGCGTGCGAGTGAGAGGATGAGTGGGAAACGAGGCTGTACATTTCAGATCAAAGGAATTGGTATGACTGAGTAACCCGAAATGGATAATGTTAGCCAGTCGAGCGCAGCCGTCTTCTGTTAGGATTGCCCCCAATCTTGGCCACATAACCAAACCTGCACCTAGGCGACAGTTCTCGCTAACTCGACGAGACATTCTGACACCGATAAATGCTTTTCGCTACGGCAACCTTCCAAAATCAGCAGTTTCGCCACTTCCGCTAACCTCACCCACTCGCTGTAGTCATCCCCTGTCCCCGACCTTCCCACACCACCCATTCCACTGCTCAGGCAGCCCTGATTTCCCTCGCCACTTCCCCCAACACCTTTCCTTCCCCTCCCACCCCATGCCACCATTCCATCCCATCCCATCCCATCCCATCCCATCCCGTCCCATTACATCCCAACCTATCTTATCTTACAGCCCATTACAGCCCACCCAACCGATAGGTTGGGATGTAATGTAACAGCCCACCCAATCCCATTACAGCCCACCCAACCGATTCCATCCCATTCCCAAACCACAACCCACAACTCCCCACCTCCCCCGATCCAGCCATCGCCTCTTCCCCTTCCCTCCCTTCCCCTTTCCTCCTCTATCCTCCTCTCTGCTCCACCCTATTCGCCTCAGCCGACTTCTCCGCTCTATTCCACGCAATGCAGGAACCAGCACCACACTCATTCCCCCTCGTGTCCCCCTCATTGCGCCTGTTTTACTGCACTCACTCAATATGTCGAGTTGTACTGTAGTAATTAAGACGGCCACGCAAATTGTAGGTTGGACACATACGGACGACGCACTTTGACACATCCACCACCAATATCCATTTACTGTACGTCGTTTAGCTGGCTGCCTAGGGCGACGCGTGAGGCTCGTCCGGTGGTTCGGAGTGGCTGGTTACTGTACCCACAGGCTCGTTTTCCCGACCAAACAGAGTCCCAACCGCCCCCCCCAACCAGCAACATACAGGTTCGAATCGAATGTATGGATGACATGTACGTGGCATGTTAGACCCCGTCATCCCAAACCACCACCCAGCCGTGCTATGAACAGCCCAGATTACCCGGGTGCCGCGCTCCCGTGCGGTGCGCTGCAGTTGTCAAGCACTTCTCTTTCTGGCTGTACTGTAGCCAGATGCTCAAAATGTGGTCCATTTGGCGTGTAGTAAAGCGACGCACCCCACCGACCAGTGCAGCGGTGCGGTGCGATGGCGTGCCGTGCCGTGCCGTGCCGTGCTTTTATCAAGCAAAACTGTTTTGTTCTACAGTCCACGTGAAGCCAGACGCTGATTTTGGCGTGTACTGTAACACAGCAACAACGGCAGCACAAACAGAAGCAGCAAAAGGGTTTTTAGTTTCTAGGTTAATGTTAGGGTTTTTTGTTGTTAAGTTACTGTTACTAGGACTCTGTGCACTGTAGTCACGGTTAACGCACCGCGAGGAGAGTTTTGTCCCGTTCTGAGCTCTAAAGGGCAGTTTAGCGTTCATTCTAGTTTTTGCGTTTCGGATTGGAGCACTTGGCACAATTTCATTGGGTGTTACGTGTACATATCGGGCTGCAAATTCGCCCACTCGCGTCCTTGTTTTTTCTACCCGGCTCGGATGGCCAAATGGGAGTTCCAGATTTCCATTGATTTCATAATCACTGTTGCCAATTTTCCATGCCGCATACAACACAGCATCTGCGCATTACTGCACGAACATGGTAACGGGGTTGCCGGCAAACGTCAAACACTGACTGCAATTTGTTCCCCGGCCGTCAGATTCAAATGGATTGATGTTTAGCCATCACTTACAGTCCGTTTACTCATCACTCCGTTTGAATCTGACGGTTGGGGAAGAAATTCCCGTCAGTATTTGACGGTTGTCGGCAACCCTGTTTTCAGGTTCGTGCAGTGATGCGCAGATGCTGTACTGTATGCGGCATGGAAAATCAGCAACTGTGATTATGAAATCAATGGAAATCTGGACCTCCCACTTGGCCATCCGAGTTGGGTAGAAAAAAACAAGGACGTGCGTGGGCGAATTTGCAGCCCGATTTGTACATATAACACCCAATGAAATTGTGCCAAATGATCCAATCGAAATGCAAAAACTAGAATGAATGCTGAACTGCCCTTTAGAGCTCAGAACCGGACAAAACCCTCCTCCGGGTGCGCTAATCGTAACTACAGTGTACAGAGTCCTAGTAAGAGTAACCTAACAACTAAAAACCCATAATGTTACTAGCGATCCGCACACAGTAGTCACGTTTGGCGCTTGGAGAGGAAGGTTTTGTCACCTTTTGAGCAGATTGGGAAGATTTAGCGTTTACTCAAGTTAATATTTTTTCTCATTGGGTCACGTTTCACAATTTCATTTGTTATATACTGTCATTTCGCTGCTCTCAGCAACTGTTCCCTGAAAACCTCCGTCAACAACAGAGCACGTCTCTGAACGAACCCGGAAACAGAACGAGCCTCGGGTGCCGTCACTTTCTGACGACAAAATTAACAGTGAACTTATGTTGTATTGACTGCAAAATTAACACGCGCAGATACTGTAATGTATGCTGACTGGAAAATCGGCAGCAGTGATTCTGAAATCATTGGAAATCCGGACCTGCCACTTGGCCATCCGAGTTGGGTAGAAAAAACAGGGACGAGTGTGGGCAAATTTGCAGCCTGATATGTACAATGAGCACTTAATGTAAATATGACAAGTGGTCCAATTAGAACCTCTAAGACTAGAACGAACGCTAAATTCCGTCTTAGAGCTCAAAACGGGACAAAATCCACCTCCTGGTGCGCTAACCGTGACTACAGTGCACAGCGTCCTAGTAACAGTAACCTAACAACTAAAAGCCCTTTGTACTGTGCATGGCATTACTGAACAGCATCCATGCTGTTGTGAGGTGCCGTCCTCGTCGAGCGCTTACGTTTTATTAGACTCCGCATACAGTACTGTACAGTAATTGGATGCTCAGAAGATGCTCCATTTTGGCGTGTACGGCACGACTGCTGTGCGGTGCGATGGCAGTGGAGATGTGCGGTGCGATGCGATGGCGCCTTACACACTCGTATATAATTTTTGTTCCCCTCCTGACCATTTCTGAGTGCGTAGACAGTGCTCCCTTGTTTCTACGGCCTAAGCGCGGCTGACTCCACGCGAGCGAAAACTTCGGGTACTGCCTAAGCTGACGTCAGGTTTCCTGACTCGAGAAACACTAGATCAAGCAGTAAACGTTTCGTAGAGAAACCTAAGTTCAATTGCTTTTTTAAGTGTATCCGGATCCGGTCTTGAGGAGCTGTTTTAGGCGGGTGGATACCCTCTCGGCGGCATCCCCTGTGAAAATACCGGGTGTGAAATTACCGCGGGCTAAGTGTAGAACCAGATGCTGGTTTTGGCGTGTAAAGCACATGTAGGAGTGCAGCATGCAGGATGCGCCGAGCCAAGCCAACGCGAAGCGCGGGGCCAACTGCAGAGCACTGCAGGCGCGGCGCCGTTCCGCGAATGCTCCCTCCGCCTCGAAGAACAAACTTACACCTCAGAGAACAATCTTACACCTCAGAGCTCAGAAGGGGTGGGGAGGGGGGGGGGTAAGGAATAAAGACTCTTTCTGTACACCATTCACGTACGAGGGGATCAGGCATTCCAAACCAAGCGAACCAGGCATTGGCTTGGGCGACTTCGCTGCTAGCGCAGGGGCGACTTCGGGTTAGGCGGCCGCGCCGGTTCATGCACGCACCACAGCAGTCAGTTGTGGAATCCGAGGGACGAATCAAAGAGGTGCGAACGACCTGACGTGGCGTGCCATGATTGGCACGACCGCATGACACACCCACCACTCAAACCACTAGGAGGCTCAGTTTTAGGCTAGCTCAAAGCTAGTGCTGGATCCATTCCACATCTGGATGCCGATCTAAGCTACTGCTCTTGACAATTTCCAAGGTAAGGAAGTACTACTTCATAGTAATACCACCTGGTCCTCGTACTCGTCGTAAACAGCAGTCAGAAGCTCTTCTGATATTGGGACTCTCGTACTAGAGGACTGCTCACGAGTCGACGACGAGATCTAGTAGTAACACCCACTGGCAGCTCTCGACGAGCCTCTTCACGCAACTTTCAGGTGTTGGAGCGTCGTCGCTCAGCAGGTCGGTCACTCCAGGCTGGTTCGACTCGAATTGCCGGGCACACGGCCACCACGAGGATCTGCTTGATATATTCCTACTACGAGCCTACTCGGTTCTACTGATACCAGTGCAACAACCATCTACTACGACGACCTTGACGACTGAGCCTCGCGCGATGCTGCTCCTATGGACCCGACGTCAGCACGCTGGGAGTCACGCGGATTACAGCCCAGAAGAGACTCTACCGAACGTGACCATATCGGTGCCGGTCCCTACTCCCTCCGGGGTGCATCCGGCGCAGCTCGCGACGTTCCCCGTCAGACCGTATCGCCGCTCCACCGCAGACCGCCTTCCCCCCGCTGATGCAGAGAAACTCCTCACTTCCGGGGCGAAGCATGCAGAAATTCAGGGAACTGCTGGATACTCAGAGAAGCATCGCCGGGAGGAACACCTGATAGAGGCGCATGTTCAAGAAGCTAAAGCGAGCAGGGAGTGTACGGTGTGCCTGTGTGACTTTGACGAGGGCGATCTGGTTCGCTCGCTGCCGCCCTGCGCGCACCGGTTCCACGTCAGCTGCATCGACCACTGGCTCGCCGTCAGGACCACCTGCCCCGTGTGCCGCATAGACCTCAAGGCGGCTGTACCTGCAACGGGTGTGACTGTAAACGGATCGTCAGTAACGAAGATGGAGGGAAGTGAAAGAATCTGAGGAGGGTGGCTCGCCGCCAGGACCATCATCTGCCCCGTGTGCCGCATAGGCCTCAAGACGGGAGCATCGGATGTGACTCTAACAAGGGCGTGACAATGAAGGGGGGAAGCGACGGAGTATTGGCTCGCCACACTATGGCATACTACCACGACGTATAAACGGGGGTTGGCTCTCCAAGAGGAAACACTCTTCCCCTCGCACCACCCAACCACAAACACCCTTCCCCATCCACTCCAAACCCTAATGCCAGTGGGCGGTGCTTGCGAGACTGGCGATAGTCACGGCGAAATGGGTGGAGTTCGCCAAAGCCTGTGGCGGAGCTCGCGAGACTGGCGACAGTCAGCGAAATAATGACGCGATGCGACTCACTACGCGAGGAGAGGTGGCCAAGCATCTGGGTTCAATCGAACCAAGGCTGTTACCAGCTGCCTGGCAGTGCCTGCCATACTCCACTGCTCCCCCCTGCGACCAGCTCGAAACGCCGGGACTCGCGACGGAGGCGAAAACACAAGTGAAGTGGACGAACAGTGGCGTACATCCTGGAGCCAGATGGCAGAGCCTGAGTGGGGTTTTTCGACAGCGGGTGCTTCAAGATTTGGGTCGCGCCTGGAGGAAGCGGAACCTCCACCGCACTCCATACCGTAAATTTCTCTAGCCATATCATGCTGTCTTCAACCCTGCTGAGCAACACTTTCACATCTACCATGTAACGCTATCAGGCCCCAAAATTCAGGCTATTTACCCTGATCCACGCTTTTTCAATGCGTTTGCTTGTTCCAGACCCGTGTTGCTAGAATATAGCTCGTCTCGGCAGAGCTGAGATCTGGCTGCAAATTGGTGCGGAGACCTAGCTTGGGGGTCCTCGCCTAGCTAGGGCTCTCGCTATTTTTCTCTAGGCTCTCATCTTTGTACTCATTATTTCGTGCACTCTGTCATTAATCATAACATCTCGCATCAGAGCTATTTTCTTGGATCACCCCACTTTCTCAAGGTACTGAAAAAGCCCGGATGTAAGACTCCCTTGTAATAGAAGACCCTGGGTCTTCTATTAAGCACTTATTGCGTGGTAACCCGATTTTTTGCCCCTGGATCTAGGACCATTTTGATAAATTTCTCAACGGTATGTGATAAGACCCATGGGTCTTATATCCGGGCTAATACGGGTAGTTTATTTCCACTGTGTTACGATGGTTAACCCTATGGGGCTGCAAAGTGGTTGTCCGTAAGCTAGAGTTATTAGCCCCCTAGTGGTTCCTTACCACGGACTTCCCCCTGCACGAAAGGCGAAGCGTTCGCATCATGACTCAGGCCCAGCCGGACAAGGTCATGGCTCAATTGCAGGCAATGCAGACATAGGTGGCAAGTTTGAACAGTGAAGTCGCGAGACTTTGGACGGAGAACACTGAGCTTCGCCAAGCGCGTGTTGAAGCGCGCTAGGAGTCGGCCAAGGTCGCAGAGAACGACGTCATGGAAGAAGTCAATGACGAGGCGAGTGAGACCATCATCGACGAGCTCCTGCACGAGAACTGGAGCAAGAAGTCGTGCACACTGTGACTGACGAAGATTAAACTCAAGCCAGTCACGCCACGCCGCCCCGTTCAACCCCACGGACAATATGACAACTGGACAAGGGTGGATGTTCAGCATGTAGTTATTCTTCATTACCGCAAGTGTCAACGCGGACGACGCGCACATTAATTATATCGTGTCGCTGCTTCGAGGGCCAGCGTGTCAGACGCATAGTCGCAATATTTGTAAATGTTATCATAGGCTAGATAGGTGCATCCTCTTAGAGGGTACAACACTTGAACATTACTTTCTAGCAAAACTTTCTAACATGTATGCCTCATTCTAGCAATACTTTCTAACTCTGAGATGGTATCACCCGCTAGGTTAGGTCCTTCCCGCCCACCCACGCTTCCGCTCTCGTCCTAGCCCTAGCCGCCCGTTCCTAGCCACCCCTTAGCGCCCCGTTGGCCCCGTGCGCCCCACCGGCCGCGTTAGCCCCGTAGGCCCGTTAGCGCCCCGTCGGCCCCGTGCGCCCTCACGGCCCAGCACGCCCTCTCGGCCCCGTTGGCCCCATGCACCCTACCTACCCATTAGCACCTCGCCGGCCCTTTTATGTCCCCACGGCCCCGTTAGCGCCCCGTCGGCCTCGTGCACCCCTCTGGCCCTGCTCGCCCCGTCGGCCCGTTAGCACCCTCACGGCCCTGTTCGAGCCCCGTTGGCCCCGTCAGCGCCTCCCGGCTCCGTTAGTGCCCCGCCGGCCCGTTAGCGCCCAGCCGACCCGTCAGCGCCCCACCGACCCGTTAGCGCCTTATCGGCCTCGTGCGCCCCTCTGCCACCACTCGCCCCGCCGGCCCCTTAGCGCCCCGCCGGCCCCGCTCGCGCCCTCGCCGGCCCTGCCTGCGCCCCGTCGGCCCCGTGCGCCCCGTTGGCCCTTGTCAGCCGGTCGGCCCGCCAGCCGCCCAGCCAGCAGGCTCCAGCTTCGCTGTCCCTCGCCTCCTCGGCCGCCCGCCGGCCCGTTGAGCCCCCGCGCCGACCCACCGGCACTGGCTCCCTTCAGTGCAGGCCTCCCTGCCGGCTGTCTCCACCGCTCTCCACCACTATCCACTGCCCTTCACCGTACTCCACCGCACTCCACCGCACTACACCACACTCCACCGCACTCCACCGCACTCCACTGCACTCCACCCCCCTCCACCGCCTCCTCCTCCTGTCCTCCTCACTCTGTCAGCGGCCGTCAGCAGCTGCAGCAGTGGCGATGGCGGAGTCACAGCTCCGTCTGGACGCAGAGGGTCGGGCGCTCGATTTTGAGGCGTGACTCGTCGACCTCCGTCTGGACGCAGAGGGTCGGGCGCTCACTGCCTTCCCACCGCCGTTCTGCGCTACCCTTTATCTCATCGCCACGTGCCTCCCTGACCGCCTAGCCACAGCCCACGACCACTTCCTTAGTCAGCACCCGGATGACCTCACTCTCACCGCCTTCGTCATTGTCCTGTCAGAGATAGAGATCCGCCATCGCAGTATCGCTCAGTCCAGCGGTACTGCGGCGGTACCTAGCTATCAGGGCTATGCTCCCTTCCAGTGCACTTACTCTAACGTCTCTGCTGTAGTTGCTGAGGCCGCTGCGGTGGCTTCAGCACAGAAGCGTCCGGATAAGGGTCGCCGCATCAAGGGGGGGCGTGGTGGGGGGAAAGGGGGTGTCGGTGGGGAGGGTGGTGGAGGTGAGGGCGGGGACGGTGGTTCAAACGCGGGGACCAGGGCTGGTGCCCCAGAGCAGCCACAGTAGTAGACGCAACCTCAGCAGCAGTAGCAGCAGACTCAACAGCCGCAATCGGCGCCGCAGTCGTCGCAGCAGCAGCAGTCACCGTGTGGACCCCCGCTGCCATGGTGGACTGGCGGTGCTAGTGGCGGTGGTCATGGTGGGGGCGGGCGCAGCTCGGTGTCGGGTGGCAGCTCCAGCGCGGTCACCTGCCAGTACCAGCTTCAGGTCGGCCCTTGCCGCGGCACTGTCTGCCTCCGGCCCGGCCACACCGCTGACCGCTGCTACCGCCGCGTGGACGACCTGTTCCGCCACTGCTTCAATTCTGCGTTGGACCCTCCGTACTGGTATGCCTTGACTCGCCGTCGTGTGCCGGTCTTTGAGCTTGACATGGATTAGATTAGGAATGCTATGTCTATCATGTATGCTGATGACTCTAGTGTGATTGGACCCTATTACCTAGTGTTGCCTCGCGTAGGTGTCTCCACTGTGTGTAGTCTAGGCTCCCCTACTACGTCAGGCGTAGGACTGTCTGCCTTGTTTAGCCTAGGCCCCACACTAGCCCCTCCGCCGGCAGCCGCTAGTGCTTCGCTCTCCTTCACACTTGAAGGCGGTGCATCTACCTGCTTCTTCTATGACCCTCTTCCCTTACGCCGCTTGCTGCCCCTGCCGCCGTCGCACTTGCAGACACATCCCCAGTCCGGTAGATGCACGTATCTCCACCACCCTTCCCTGTCCGGCGGCCCACTCGGGCATTCTTTCAGGCCTGTAGATCCCCTCGTTCTCTAGGAACCTAGTCGGTGTCGGCTGTCTTCAGGACCTCAGCGTTAACACTATGTTCCCTGGTCACGAGCGGTACACAGTCTGTACCGAGGCCGCCTCAGGTGCCCCCCTTGCAACGTTCCCCCGCGACCCTGTGTCTGGCCTGTTTACGCTGGACACTGTGTCCCCCCCGGGGAGGGCGTCCCCCCAGGTAGCCGCAGCTTGCTCGTGTCGGTCGTTCACTCACTCGTCGCTGTTGTAGCACCATCGCCTAGGTCACCCTGCACTCCCTCGTCTATGTAACATGTCCTAGCACGGTCTCGTCCTAGGTCTCCCTGTGTCGCTCCCTTCCCTCCCTCCCTCGCCTGCGCCACCGTGCACGCCCTGCGTTGAGGCCCGGCTGCGCTGTGCTCCTCACTCCTCCTTGCTTCGCCCTGCCACCGCGCCACTCCAGACCCTGCACCAAGACGTCTGGGGTCCAGCCCCCGTCCCTGGGCCGCGTCGAGAGTGCTACTTCCTGGTGCTTGTCGACGACTACACACGTTACACCACGGTTTTTCCTTTAGAGCGGAAGGCCGACGTGTCTGCCGTTCTTATCCCGTGGGTTGTAGCTGCGCGAGTCCGCCGAGGTCTCCCTGTGCTGTGTCTCCACTCCGACCGTGGCGACGAGTTTGCCTCCGGTCGGCTTGGCCACTTCTGTCGTGCGGAGGGCATCACCCAATCGTACACCCTGCCGGACTCCCCACAGCAGAATGTTGTCGCTGAGCGACGCATCGGCTTAGTCATGGAGGTGGCTCGTACCTCCATGATTCATGCCGGTGCACCCCATTTTTTGTGGCCGTTCGCTGTTCACTACGCTGCTCACCAGCTGAAGCTGTGGTCCCACTCCCAGCGGCCGCAGGTTTCGCCGAGCCTTCTTTGGACCGGGTCACCTGGTGACGCGTCTGCGTTCCACGTTTGGGGATGCCTCGCTCACGTTCGTGCCTCTGGCACGGACAAGCTCACTGCCGGCACTGTCCCGTGTGTCTTCCTTGGTTTCCCCCTTGACTCGTCTGACTGGCAGTTCTACCACCAGCCGTCTCATCGCTTCCTTCACTTGCATGACGTCACTTTCGACGAGTGTGTCTCCTTTTACCGTCGCTTTCCCCACCGAGGACTCCCGGTTTCCCCACCCGTGTTTCTGGTCCCCACTCCCCCAGTAGCCTCTGCTCCCCTCCCTTCCCCTCCTACTTCGTCTTGTGTGTTTCACGTCACTCCCCTGCCGTCGCTTGTCCCGGTCGAGGAGTCGGCTGACTCTGGTGGCCCCGCGGCGCAGTTCTCGCCGCCTGCCTCTCCCTCGGTGTCCCCTCCTCCGTCGTTGCATTCTCCGCCGCCGCAGTCATCGCAGCCACAGCAGCAGCGGTCGCCGCCGCCGCAGTAGCCACCGGCGTCACAGCAGCAACAGCCGTTCGTGGACTCTAGGGGTGCTGGCATTGAGGATGGTGCTAGTTCTGGGGTTCTTTTCGTGGCTTGTCCCGGTGGGCTCGGGGGTGGCACCGGTGTTGGAGAGGTTTCACGCTCTGGGGGTGCTTGCTCTGGGGGTGCTTAGGTGAGGTTTTCCGGAGGTAGCCGTGGTGCAGCTTGCAGTCCAGGTGTCAGCGTCGAGCAGTAGCAGCAGCAGCAGCAGTCGCCCCCGGTATCTGCCCTTTGCCAGTTCGCCCTTCCCTCCCCTGACCACTCTCCTGCGCCTCCCCTGCTGCCTCCTCCTCTTCCTGTCCACGGTCCTGTGTTTTCTCCGCCGGACTCCTCCCCGGCCCGTTTCCCGCCTCATTTCCCCCATGTGTCTCCTCCTTTGTCTCTTGACCACACGTCTCCGTCTGACATCTGGTCTCGCCATCCCTCTCGTGCTCATCCTGTCTCCTATATTCATCGTTCTCA